GAGTTTAGTTGTTTTGATTTTCTCATTGCTTACACACACAACCTTTGAGCTTAATGTATTTACATTCATAGTATAATTTGGGTTGTGGGGAGTTGTAATAACTGAGTGTGAGCTTTCATGGTGTTCTCATCTATTGTAGAGAACAAATTTATTATTTGTTACAATTGTGAGATTGTAAAGTTTTCGGTTAGCTAGAAAACCGAGTGTGAGGAGTGAACGTTGATCGGTGAGCATTGAAAACTGATGTTGTGAGTGATTGTGAACGTTGATCGATGAACGTTGATAACCAACATTATGAGGTGTAAACGTTATTCGAGTGAGCGTAGAAAACCCGGTTGTGATAGTGGATTTCTCCCCGGGAGTGGGGAACGGAGACGTAGGACAGAAGGTCCGAACTCCGTGATCATTTGCTTGTGTTTGCATTGTCTTTGGCGTACTTAATTCTTGTGTTCATATCTTATATCGCCATTGTTCTTTTGCTTATTTATATTGTCCTCTATATTGTTTCACCCTTGTGTTAGTTTATATATCCTCGCATATATTTCACTATATATCTCATTGCTAGGATATTGCTCTTTGTTCATATTGCTTATTCTTGCTTGTAACATATTGTATATCTATCTTACAAAAATAATTTATTAATTAGTTTTAATTAGCATAAAATCAGATTAGATTAGCATAAGACCCTAATCGCCCCCCTAGGGTCTAACATTAGTCGACTACTGATACATAGATATGAGATATATGATATATTTTGAGACTCACTCTATATCTATAAACTCTAATGGTTAACTTAGGGGATTTCTATAGTTAACCACACACTAAGTATGTATTAGTGTGTTCTAAATACTATGTGCGTGTATGTGTTTTGAGTGATCAAGGCTTGTATAAAATTCTAAGCATTAGTCGATCTGACATAGTCGTCTCTTAATTACCGACAACAGACTTCAAAGAAGACTCTAGCACTCGCCCTAAGGAGTTCAGACACCAATCTGCAAAAGCTATCGACTCGACTGGCTTTAAGCTTGGAGAAAAAACAAACAACTGCTCGAGTTTGAGACGTATTTTCTCAACGAAGGACGAGTCCCCTCGAGTCAGCAGTTAAGTTCACAAGTCAAAGATAGAGCTAATTCATCAAGAAGACACAAATTAAGATTGCACAACAGAAAAATAATTCTGCTCAAAAATCTCTTTATTCAGTTATGAAGAATAAGTACAAGATACATGTATACATATATAAAAAATGTTATAAAAAATGTAGAGGTATTGTTGAAAACCTTGTCAGTCATTCATGCTTGATAGTATCAATGGCAATGAAAACTCAAAAAGAGCAAATGAAAGATTCCTTGAAATCAAACTCGAAGGATTTAAGAATAATCCTTGAGGATATAAAATTAAGGATGTAGCAATGTCCAAAATTAATGTTTTTGTCTAATTAATCTGCTGTTTTGAGTTTGATATATCAAAATATCAAACTCAAAGAAGATTAAAATAAATATCAATGTTGTAAAGAGTGGTAAGAGCCTCGTCCAGCTTGAAGTTCTTTGTTATAATAACATTTCTGTAAGTATTTCTATTTAATTATGGCGTAAATTTTCTTTCTTTCTTCAATCTTTGTCTTTATTATGTAGTTTAATTCTTGCTTTTAGGCTTTATATTTGTTTGTTAGTCAAGCTATGCCTAGAGATAGAAAACGAAACTAGGCTGTACTATTTCTTTTTGAAGAAACATGCTAGGATTATGGTAACTCTTACGAGTCCTTAGCCTGAACAGAAAGCCGCTCAGACAATGTGTGTTTAGCCATAGAGTAAAGGGTCAAATTCTTTATTACCAAATATGATATGAGCGATCTAGTAAGAATTAAACTATATAAGAAAAGGTAGAGAAAGGAGAAAGATCTCATATAACCATGTCTAGAGTTATACAAGAAACATGTAAGATTAGTGCTGAACCCAAGAGATACGGGCACTTACTTCATCTTCCTAAATACTCCAATAGAGTCATTATCTAATCAAGACCTAGTATCCATGCTAAACTCGGTAATAATTATTCTATATCTAATAGCGGATATTAATACACATATTTTAAATCTTCAAAGATAGATTAAAGAAATAAAGTCATTGATTACAAATGTTATTCGAGGAAAAACCAAACTTCAGAACCACACCACCGAGGTCTCTGCTCGTATGTGGCATCAGACTAATAATTTAAATATGATGATAAAAACAGAGGGTTTAACGGACACCTTTTAACCTAAAATCTATAATCCTTCAAAAGAATAGTATTACGGCAATAAATACAAACCTTAACACAACAAGTGAAAGTACCCTAGAGGGGGGTGAATAGGGTTATTGCTAATCTTATTAGATATTAATGCCGATTAAAATTGATTAACAAATATATCCTAACAATGATGATATTCAATATGATATATGCAAGGATATATATGCAAAGAGAGAAACAACAAGAAACAATATAAACAAATAGTGGACACAAGAAACAATCCAAACACAATAATATGATCACGGAGTTCGGACTTTCCGTCCTACGTCTCCGCTCCCCACTCCCGGGGAGAACTCCACTATCGACACACCCGGTTTGGAAGCCGGAACTTCTCTACACACTCGGTTTTCTAGCTAACCGAAAACTCTACAACACACACAATTGCAATCACACTCTACACCCTCTAAGTGTTGGTCTCTAGTCCGTGTTTCCCTCAAGTGCTCGGAATTATCACCTCTCTCTAGGCTACCGACGCCACTCCTCTTGGGACAACCCCGTCTCTCACCACACACTCCTCTCGGTGTACAAGTGTATTACAATGTGATCCTCACAATTAAGGCTCAATACAAATAAATCGTTCTCTACAATAGATGAGAACACAATGTAAGCTCAATCTCACAAATCACAATCCCACAACCCACTATATGATGTATGAAATGCTACAAGCTCAAATAGGGTGTGTGTGATAAAATGAGTATAAACAAATTCTAACTCAATTAACAAACTAGCAATAATAAGAATATGAAAATCAATAATAAAATTGCTAGAAAAAGAGTTAGAAAAACTTCTCTATAAACACAAAGGAGAGGATGAAGAAGATTGAGGATGAATCCCTCAATTGACAAGTAAGCTTCCTCCTTTGTAAACAAACACCAAACCCAAACTTGAGAATAAGCAAACTTTTAAACACTTTAAAACTCTTGTTAAAAACCTCTTAGTTGATAGGAAATAGTTAATGCAAATGGGTATTTATAGGCTTGAAGAAACCAGCCCAAAAATCCAACTAAAACCCTTAAAAACATTAAAATAAACAAAGCTGGAAACTAGCCGTTACTGTGCCAACGACTATATATAAGTCGACTTATCAGGTTACACAAGTCGACTTGACAGAAGAAAAAACACATGCAGAATGACAGATTATAAGTCGACTTATAGTCGACTTACCTGTAAAACAAGTCGACTCAGCAGAGAGGAAATTGCATATTCCAAGCTAGTTCATAAGTCGACTTATCAGTCCTGATAAGTCGACTTATCAGTCCTGATAAGTCGACTTATGAACATGCACAGACACTGTGCATGTCCAAAATCTGACTTTTGAAGGCTCTTTAAAAATAGTAAACAATTTCCAAAAAATGTAAAATTTTGGGAAATGATTATAACTATGATAATGAACATGTTACAAAAAGAATTTTTTAATTTGCATTCCCCATTTGTAAAATCTCATCATTTTGCAAAATCACATAAGTATGAACATGTTAAAAACTTGATTTTGTCGAAATGACTTAAACAAAACTTTGAAACACTTTAGAAAGGATTTATAGACTTAAACAATATATGAAAATAGTATAAATAAGTCTTTAATCTTATTTTGCATAAAAACACCTATATTTACGAAAATCACAAATATATATATGTGTGTATATTTGAGCTTATAGAATTAACACACATTATATAAACCCTAAACTATTTTACCCAAGCTATGAGATCTTCAATATGCTCAACTTGGTACACATGCGGATGAAGCTTGAACTTGATCTTTAACTTGAATTGTACGTTGCTTCACTCCACAATTCCGCCAACCTCCATTAGATATGATCGTTATGGCGCAATTCCATCCATCCTCCAATACATTGTTTGTCTAGAATACCTAATAGGAAACATAAACACTAGACAAACAATATTAGGAATTATTTGTAATTATCAAAACAAGATTAGAAGATGTAGGCTCATAACATGAGACCTAACAACAAGTACGAGATCCACAAACAGAATTTGCTGCTTTACATCATGCAAATCAACTTCTTGATAATAATAATAATAATCAAATTTTAAATTGCTATTTAGATGAAGTTGAGTTTTCATTTGAAATTACAGAGTAAGATGATTCCCTAGTCATTAATACAATTCAAACTAGAGAATCTTCAATCACAAGTCCACCTCTTAAACAGCCTAATAATTCGTCTCCACTACCATTACCCATTAATTCTAATATTAGGTTTGTTGAAAACTTTGCTCCATCTTTCATTCCAAAAATTTCAAGGCCTGCTTCAGCAACAGCTTCCTCCTGGCGATACTGTGGTGATTTATCAACCCATATGCAAACAAAGATACAAACAAATGTATGAAGAAGCGACTATACATATTCCTGTTAGTATGGGAAGACTTTATTTTAACATGAATAATATCCTAATTAGGAAAAGAGTAAAGTGTGTTAATAGATGGATCCAATATATTATTGGGTTAACTCACTTCTATGAATGGAATACCCATGAGTTCATAAAATACGTAACTGCCTTGTTCAAGTATGACTGCCAATTAGGTAGAGTTATTAGTAATTAATAAAGATTAAAATAAATAAAGAAAGATAAAAAAAACCAAGACACTAGAAGAAGCTTAGGCTGCTTTAATGAATCATCTTCGTAAGGAGTTTGAGAAATTTGACCCGACTCATTGTACCCGATCCGGCCCGTTTACTTGCTTTCCATCTTCTGATTTTTTCATGGAACTAAACCCTAACAAACCCCCAAAATCACAGACAATGGAGGGAAACGAGGTCTCTTCAAATCTCTCCGCCTTCTTAAACTCCGGAATCTATCATCTCGATGGATCCAACGTCGTCTTCGTGGATCCAGTTCGGATCCTTAACGGATGCTACACCCGCTTTAGGCTCTCTGGCTCCGCTTACTATTCTCGTAGCTTCAAATCCAACATTAAAGCGCAAGCAGTCGAAGATGCGATTGATTCCTCCAATTCGAAAAAGAAAAAGAGGAAAAGAAAGAGGAATTCTTGTAGAGTTCTGAACGAAAGGGAAACTGCTGCAGAGAATCGTCATCAGGTAATTAATTTTCTATGCAATCCCCCTTTTTTTATGGGCTACATGAGGATTATGCGGAAAGATCTACTAATCAACTCCTAAGAGCTTATTTCGTTTTAATAATTTACGTGATGAGTTATATGAGCAAATTATATATCTTTTTGATGAATCTGCACTGTGAAATGAGTTATATGGGCAAATAATATATCTTTTAGATGAATCTGCACTGTGAAATTTATGGACGACAGCATGAATCTTTTGGGAAGTGATTAACAACTAATAAATGAGAGCCTGAGTATTTGAAAGCCAATTTGGTTGTACGCCGGAAAGATCAACTGTAGACTCTATATACTAAGATGTTTGACGGAGAGTATGGAGAGGATACAAGGAGGAGAGACATGATCTGCATGTGGTTTTCATCGATTAAGAAAAGGTCATGATTGAGATTCAAGGGAGATAATGTAACATCTCAACTCGGAAATATCCGAAAATCTAACAAAATTCTGACCATAATAAATACAGATATATTAACTCCCAGAATTTTAAAGTTGACAGCAGAGTCCATGCAGAATATCATCAATACGGAAAGTTAATGTGGGAACACTTAACTATTAGATAATACTACTTACTACATACACAGAGAAGCTATTACATAACAAAAGAAACATAGTCTTAATTGCATACAAAAAGGCCTGCAGAAGGAGACATTCTAGATGCTTCTTCTTTGTTGATTACAAGGTCGAGCAGGTGTCTACCTTTACAGATCAACTCCTGCATGTCAACCTACTATAATCATGTTATCCGCTTCTTAGTTCTTACGACCATGCTATTTCATACACATCATTCATCACTTTATTTCACTAACTTTAGGAATCACCCATACGTGTAACTTATGATACAAAATGAATCTGCAGTTGACAATCTCAATCGTTATCTCATGAATAGGAGCATGTATCAATATGTGTCAACAATAGGTAGACGGAACTCCCATCAGTCTGACTCCACAGATCACGTCTCCAAAGGAGCAGGTTTTAAACATCTCCAAGAAGTCAGTAAAATATCATACGGATGTCTCCGGGTGGCTCAATGATAACTCAAAGATTCATTAAGCTTTGCTTGGCCAAGACTTCGTTGTCAACAGTAACTATACAACTAGCAGTAATAGTAACAGTACCAATGGTTAGAGGTTTTGTTTTACAGTTACCTGTGAACCATGATTTCTATAAATCTTCTTCATATTTCTCATAATATTTTACTTGTATGCGTTTTTATGTAACTTGTACATCCTTAAACTATTTGGTTTATGATATAAATTTTAGAACCTGAGACAATCATTTGTATTCTTTAGTTGATCCACAAACTTTTGGATATGTAACTTCCAGCATGAGGCCATGTGTCTTATAACCTCATGGCTTTAAATTAATTTACCTTAATTTCGAATTGACCAATTTTTTCTCATGTCCTTAGTCTTGTTCCCACTTGGTCTTTTCATTGAAGTGTAGAATCATATTATTGTATCAGTTAATAACTACTTCGTACCCTATTTACTTGCCACTAAAATTTATTTCATTATATCTTTGTTAATTCGTTTAGTACTATATATATGTATGTTTAAATTATTTATATAAAGACCAGTACTTTTTTTTGGATGGACATTTTTTGTTCCCATATGGTACTGTATAAATAGGTCCTAGTGAAATATAAATTATAAATAATGCATCAAACATGCTCTTGACGTTAAAAGTAACTTTTATAAGTTAAAGTGATAGGTGTATACCTACAACTTCCATCCTTAACAAATATTTCTCTACGATGAGTTACCATATATGTAGTTCACTAAACTATAGAAGACTAAAATCCTATTCATCTCATAGTAGTTATATTCATGTACATGTGCTAAAGTAATAAAAATAAAGGTACTTAACTCCGCTCTGAATTAATTTGAAAATTGAATAACGCTTTAACCCAAAACATCAAATATTTAGGTTAAGAAGAGAATGAATTACTTATCACGTTTCTCTTCTCTAATCACACATGCTTCAGTAGTTTAGAGCTCTTCATTGATCATTCTTCCAATGCTATTTGCTTCTCCTCTAACACTATTAGCCTTCATTCTTATATTATTAATCACACTCCTCAACTAGGATTTTAATAACGCTATGTGTAAGTATTTATAACCATTGCTCAATACCTCCTCCTAAGAAAGCCCTTTTTCCCCCATCTATATAGCCACTGCTTGAAAGATACAAATTGACCAAGTTATCCGTTTGCATATTCTTTTGTATTTTACTATCATTGTTATTATCATTATTGTAGAGAAAATAGAGAAGGCAAAGGTATTTTTTAATCTAATTATAATCTCTCTTAAATAGAGAATATGAGGATATTACAAAATAGATATGAGACAAATTACATTTCATAATATCTCAATAATATCTCATAATATCTCTTAAATCTAAATACCAATAATATCTAACACTCCACCTCAAGCTGGAGCATATATTACTACATATGTCCACCTTGTTGCAAATCGAAATAAAACAGTTAGTTGCAAGAGCCTTGATTATGTTATCTTTGTCTGAAATACTTGAAGACGTTAACAATTAAAACAATGTAGTAATAGCCAGTAGAAGCCTTAGGCGGGTCAGCCAGTAAAGAGAAACCCTAAGTGTTTAAGCCAATAGAGAGAAACCCTAGGCGAGTCAGCTAGGGGGTCAGTCAGTAGAAACTCAAGACGGGGTAGTCATTAGATAGCCTAGGAAGATTAGCTAGTAGAAAGAAATCCTAGGCGGATCAGCTAGCAGAAGCAACGTTAAAATCAACTATGTACTTTTGCAATTANTAATGAACAGTACATTTGTCGTTACTGTTCATCGGTGAACAGTATCTATGATGGATAGTGCCTCCTTTTCCCTCCCTTTTGAGGTTTTTAACCAAGATTTAATAAACAAATGATATAGAAACCAAAGATATTGTCGGAGCCGCAGAAAACGATGTCGTAGCCGCCAGCGGAGTAGGAAGGCCATGCAATAACCCTCTCGATGGCCTCTAGATCTAAAAAGATGGGAGAAGTTCTCTAGGATCAATTAGACTCTGATACCATATAGAGAAAATAGATAAGGCAAATATATTTTCTAATCTAACCGACCTCTCTTAAATAGAGATTAGAAGGATATTATAAAATAGGTATGAGATAAAATCATATTCAATTACATCTCATAATATCTCAACAATATCTCACATATCTCCTAAATCTAAATACCAATAATATCTAACAATTATGTTTGGGACAGACATTGTTGGTGAATGCGGACAATGTATCCGATCCGAAAAATTTTGGACAAAGACTCTGTTGTTGTTGTTGTATGAATCTAAAATCTTTTGCCTATTTGGATATTCTTTAGTATTTGACAAACATTATTATTATCATTATGTTGCAGGGAGTTAGGCCATTGTTGTTGAATGCACACAATGCACTACTTGAAGTTACAGATCTCTTGAGATTTCTTCCTAATATTATGAAGGGCGAGGAAGATTCATTTTGTGATATGAGAGGAGAAGAACAAAATTTTATGGACCTTGCTAGCCATTCACAGTCTTCCCATTATGAGATATGTCTTTGTTCTGGCTCGAGAGATACAAAGGAAGAAGGAGAAGGTCAGATACTTTTTACCTTTGCTGTTAGATTACATTAAATACCAAGAAATTAGTTCTTCAAAAGTAGATTTGGTACATCATCAAAATGACTTTTGATGGCACAGAAGGTCAGGTGTATTAGCTGCACCTTTAGGTTATTGATTTCATGACTTTATCAAATGTCTTTTATGTGTTTGAACCTAAATCGATGAATTTATCAATTAATTTCCTACCTTCTTTGTTTGATGTATGTATACGTGCGTGTGTGCTGTGCGCAGGCGAGTGTGTGTTGAGTGAGTGTGCGCACATGCGTGCATGGCTGTTGAATCTCCATATCTTTGTAAGATGTTCATTCAAGATCTGAGGTAGGCTCTCTCTGTATATTCTCGTGGGAATGTAAAAAAATTAAGGATAAACTACAGGAGTGAGAAAGTTAGTCAGATTGAGAGTGAAAGTTCTAGCATGCTAGACCTGTATTCCATCTATAATATGATTAAGGACCAAACCACTAAGAAGGGCATATTGTTGCCTTATTTTAAGTGAATGTTTGAAATAGTGGTTGTAATATAAGCAGTCTGCAAGTTTGGATGAGTTTTCTATTATTGGATTTAGGTTCCAATAAGATAATAAATTCAAAAGAGTATTTCGTGATTTATTGTGGTTTTGAGTTTAATGCTTGATTTATGTACTCTTAAATATTTATTTGGTCTTACTAAATTCACCCGGCACCCAAGATGTTTCATTGGTTTAAAATGTTGAAATTCTAAAGGTTCTTAACAGTTTATATTCTTCAAGTAGACAGTTAGATTCCTCAGTTTTCATGCATTGTGCTTCTCCAACCCTTATTGCTGCCAATAGGTGTTTCAACTTGAAGGAAAGTGCAAGAAGCAATCAGTCAACTCTCCTTTTGCAATACAAAACTCCTTAATCAAGTCTTTTCTTTTCTTATTTGTGCATGGTGCTTTATATGCAGCACACATATACATTATATTGGTATCTAACATGCACCTACGTGTATCTGTATACTTGGCATTACACGTGAGTTCATCTAATTCAGTTATCAGCAATACAGGAAATATTTTCTTTTTTTTCCCCACTGCCTTCCTCTCATTTGAAATGAATGTCGGACATGCATAAAGTTAAAGCCAGAACAGCTGGAAGTATTCTTGTAGCTTGTTGGAACACAAGATTTACTTTTCATTTGGATGGTATCAGTTCTGGACAGTACTTATGGAATGCATACTGTTCAAGTTCGATTTAATTTTCTTGTAGCATGTTTTGGTGAAGTTTTGACCTATTGAAAGCCTGAATCCTTGATGTTAATCTATTCATTGTTTGATTATTCAACAGGTTCATTGCATGACTACGGAAGAACTGTTCCGTTATTTTCTAACTTAATCAGTAATCATTTAACTGATGAAATCGAGTGTGAATTCCTCAGCAGGCGGTACATTGTACCCTGCAGAAGCTGCTTTTACACGGTAAGTTGCTTAATGTGCACCAGCTCACTATATGAGTATATTTCTAGGACGGCTAGTTACTGTATTTTTCAAACTCAATTCATAGTTTCTCTCTTTGTCTTCTGCCATTGCTTCTTACTATAACTTCCATGGACAAAAGGATATTGAGTGTTATTTTGTTTATTGTTTAACATGGAGTGTCTTACGACTCTTACCTTAATTTTCATCCATGCTGGCCTCCTTGATGTGTTGACATGGAAAGTCTGACTTGAGGCAAGTTCGTGACCTCATTCCAGGTAACTATATTCTCAGCCCTGTAATGTTCATTAAGAAGATCTATATGAGTTTTTATATTGCACTAAACACTAAATTGATAGCTGACGTGCTAAGTGGACAGTTTTTTTTTTTCATTTTCACTTCTAATGCTGGATTGTTGTCAAAACTTTTCTGCAGCTCAATCAGATCTTGGCTTTAACCTTATTGTCATTGACCCACCATGGGAGAATGGAAGCGTTCATCAAAAAGCAATGTATATAATTAACTCATAAGCTGATAATCATTATCTTTTACTCCAAATGTGCACTTTATGATAATTCCTAATTCCTAATTCCTAAAGCATGACTTGCATAATCTTCTTAAATTCTATCATCACTTCTATTTAAATAACAAATAAAGAAAAAAAATTGTACAAAGACGTGAGAACTTTAAAACCCTATTTTTTTTTTTGTATCATTAAGATTTGCTGACTAGTTTGTGGTTTTTATACTTTCAATCTTAAAACCACTTCTTGAAATCAATCTCGATTCTTTGATGGGGTCTTGTATATATAAACATCTTAATGAATAAATGGATCTAATCTCTTACTTATTCCCTCAAACTAAGCCATCACAAGAAACTATCTAAAAAAGAGATTCTAATATGGAGGTAACCTGGTAATCACAATTTTTTTATTAACCCTGTGCTGGGAGAGGAGTGCGTCGGGATGAAAAGGAGATTATGGTCAACTGAAAACACTACAGCTCGTTTATGTGTAAAGAGAGCCCACCTGTGTAGAATTCTTGTGTTTTAAAACTTTTGTAAGATAACTTAAGATTATCACTATTATAGCATAAAACCACTCAAAAACAGTACAGTATGAACACAATAATACCACAGACATGCTATTATATATCATTTTCTGAACATATGGCTTTCTAATGTGTTTAACAAACATTTTTTTGTAGGTACCCCACTTTACCTAACCGTTATTTTCTGTACCTTCCTGTTAAAGAACTTGCCCATTCAGAAGGAGCCCTAGTGGCTTTATGGATGACTAACAGGGAAAAGCATCGCATCTTTGTTGAGAAAGAACTCTTTCCTGCTTGGGGAGTCGCACATGTTACTGTCTTGTACTGGCTGAAGGTAAACATCTCGTGGTTGGTTCCGCAGCCTCCTTTAATATGCATGGATTCTTGCTATTAATACTTCCATATAATAATAATTCAGAAGTTTGATTAGAATTGAAAACACGTCACAGGTAAAACCAGATGGGTCCCTAATTGGAGAACTGGACTTGTTTCATCATAGACCATATGAAAGTCTTCTTGTTGGGTATGTTAATACAAAGGTGAGCTTTTTGGCATATACATAACCGATGTTCTTACAAATATATTTGTTGGAAGTTTAGTTTTAGATTTCATCATCTGTTAATTTGTGTTTCTTACTCAGACTGCTGATTTGGAAGACCCACCACCCGCGTTTAGATATCTGCAGAACAATCAAGTCTTCATTAGCATCCCTGGTGCTTATTCAAGGAAGCCTCCGTTGGGAAGTATCCATGCCTAGACTGTTATTTACTAAGTTATAAGTTAATGTAGAACATAATTGAACCCCTTTTTGAATTAAATCACATTTAAAATCTCTGCTTTTTCCTGTCTTTACGTTAGATGATAAAATTAACTCTAGAAGTCTGACAAATGAATTTTCTACAGAATATCAAACTCTCCAAAATTTCTGTTTGACAGTAAGTTGAATGAAAAACTGCATCTGGAGCCCTGGTTCCACTTTCTCCCCAAAATCCTCTAGAGAAGAGAAATTTTCTGACATGAGATTTTTTCTAGCCAATTCCAAGCACCTTCCCCAGCATGGTTCCTCAAAGTGATCAAAAAATTTTGGAAGAGGATTTTGGGTCCGGTCTACATTTTCCATGGATTTTCAGAATTTCATTGGTCATTGTTTGTTTGCATGAAATTCTCAAGATTCTATGGAAAATGTGGGTCCTACATTAATTTTGTCAGCCTGGAAAGTCTCTCTCTCTCTCTCTCTGATTTTTTTTTTGAAGGAAAGATTGTTGGAGAAAATGATTGGAATTTGCTGTCACATCATTCCAGGTCAGAAAACATGAGAGTTTAATGAAAGGTGATTTTGTCAGATATCTGAACTCTTTCACAGTCCAACAGTGCCTTGAGAATTACAGAGTGCAAAACAGTTTTTCTTACAAATGTCCAGCAATTTTTTTTTCTTTTAAGAGGAATATTAGCTATTCTTATCACTTGGAATATTCACACGATAGGTTTTAGTGTGATTTTCTTATGACATTTTAGCAATGTTACAGTGTTTTATATGTTTTTATTTTTCTCGATACTGTCACTTCCATGTTACATATATCAATGGTTCCATCCTTGACAATCTCAAGAATTAATAGGGGATCACATTCCCGGCCCCAAGCCTGCAAAGTGTCTCGAGCTTTTTGCTAGAGAACTGGTAGCTGGATGGACTTCTTGGGGGAATGAACCACTTCGGTTTCAAGATGCAAAATACTTCACAGAAAAGTAATTGATAATGGTGCCACATGATCATTTCATCTCGTATTATGACTCAATCATGTGAATTATGCTGGGGAATTAGCATCAATGTCATTTGTATCCATGTAAGTTTTTTGCGGACTTCTCTCGGTTGCAAATTGTTTGAAATCTACGCAGTGCCACAAACTCATATTTTCATCTGCCTCAGATGGATATTCCATAACCAAAATGGAGCTTTGGCCGATATAGAGGAGATTTTGCTATTTTGGGAAGTTTCAAGTTTTTGGGAGTATGTCAAGATTGCATCATGATTGATTTGGTCAATCCTGTGAAGCCAAATGAGGTCTGGTCTGAAATAAATGTTGGTGTCAATGGGGTTGGTGGGGGTGGGGATGTTGGTAGATATCATTTATAAGAGGTATTCATGCAATATCTTCACACAAGCTTCAAATGAGTTTTATTGTGCATGTGGTTATATGCAGTTGTAATCAGATCAAACTTCGAACATCTGAGGAACGTTATTACTTATCACTCGGAAACTGTCGGTATATCTCATTAGCACTTCTCTCATGCGAAATCTCAAGTGATAATCCAACTTAAATTAGTTTGCAAAGATGAGCTGATTTTTCTCTGAAGATGTTTAAGTTTATTATTTGATTTAGAATTTAGTTTTCCAAATAACCAACAGGTCATTGTAGTATAATGGTGAGTATTCCCGGTGTCACGCAGAGCATTCCAATAGGTGTCACGCGGAGCATTCCTCAATAGGAGTCTATCTCAGTGATTCTTAATTAATTTATCTTTAATAGAAGCAACCTCTAAATTTCAAGGAATACATATGTCTACTTGCCCATCGTAGTATTGGTCCATCGAAGTATTGTCATCTTGACTATATCTTGTTTTTTGCACTGGTTCTCAATTGTCTGAAATTTCCATCAAGAAAATTATGGGTACTCTTATAATTATAGGTATATCTTATATAATTTGGATAAAGAATGCCTCTCTTAGTGTTTACCTACTTCAATTTCACCATCTTAACTTTGAACAAATATACTCTTCCCTTGTTCTCACTTGTTGTACATCTGTTATCCCATCATAATATTATCATTGGTGTTAGACTCATTATTTTTGTCACATGTTTATTTACTATTTTCCAACATTTTAATCCATAAAATATTGTCAGTTTTATAATTGTTCCTCTACAAATTTTCTTCTAATTTCAGATGGTGAAGCTTAGAGCTGGAATATATATATCTTCCATTTTGTTGATCAAGAATGACTATTTTTTCTTTAAATTGTTGAAGAGCATGTCAGATATTCTACTCTTAAAACATTATATTCAATTGCCAATTAACCAATCAGCATATTGAGAAAAAAAATTGTTGTAAACCAGAACCTAAATCCATTAGTCCAATAAAAATCGTTAAGAAAACATTAGTTGACAGTTACTTAAAATAAGACTTAAATTATGTTTAGCCAGGGAAACGTGAAAGATGCGGCCCTGAGCGTCTGCACGCTCCCACGTGCTTTGTCCGTACCAGTAAATTCTGAAGCACCCACAAGTCCGCTGGTGACCAATCTTACGTCACTCTTCCAACGTGCACTGTAACAGGATCACACGCCGGTCCCGTGCTCCGTCCTATCCAAAAGAGAGAAAAATACAAAAAAAGAAAAAAGAAAAAAAAAGAATATATTTATTTGAGATCTAACAGGATGGTAGGTAGAGTTGAAAAATAATATAGGCACACCCTTAGACACACCACCAACCACACCCCCTCTCTATCTACAGTGCAGGGGGCCCCACATCAGATTTTTTAAAAAAATCTGATGTGGGGCCCCCTGCACTGTAGATAGAGAGGGGGTGTGGTTGGTGGTGTGACTGAGGGTGTGCCTGTAGCGCCTCTCGGTAGAGTTACATCGTACTAACCTTTGAGTATGCGTACTAACAGAACGGTCAGTGTGCGAGCAGTTAGGTCTGAGCCTTGCAATGAATTTGGTATGGAGCAAAAGTATTTCGCTCTTAGTGTGTGGCTCAGATTGATCGCTTGCATACAGTGGGTTTTAATATATTTCGCAGTCTTCAAGAGTCCAATATTCGAATATTTTACTGTTCTTGAAAGCCTAAAGACTACTTGAGAGTTTCCTGGTAAAAGATATAGATTATGTAAATCATATGTACAAGTTTTGGTTTGATTATCTAAACTTTTTATTTAAATTTAGTCCTAGAAAAGTGTAGACAAAAAGGAGTGAGATAGAATGCGTAGAGGTATGGGGAGCGAATTGTCACAAAAGTAAAAAGTTAAAATAAGAGGGGAGAAAGAGAAACAGAGGAAACTATTAAAGAGAAAACAAAGAGAAAACAAAAAGAAGATAACGAGAATTGAAAACACAAAAAGAGAAGGAAGTAGGAAGAAAAGAAAAATCAACAAAATAAAATCAAGAAGAGAGATACCGTGTGAGAGAAAAATCAAATCAACAGAGATTGAGAAAAAAAATAACTAGAGAAGTTAGGAATCTAGAATTGAACCCATTAATTTTAATTAGAATTTGTGGATACTTTAAACCACTTAAAGAGCATAATCTATCAAATTATCATCTAAGTAAAAGTTTCTATTCATGAAAGAATAAGCAATTAGATAATAATCCTAGAAATAAATAAGCAAGATCTAGCAAATCACTAAAGACAAACATATATTACAAACTCTTTTTCTACCAATTAGTTCTCTAGTAGTTTATTCTATACATGATCATTTTAACCATAAATAAAGAAATCCATAAATCATAAAAAATTAAATTAGTTTCATACAATCTTACATTTCTTACAATAATTAGTTATTCATTTTACAAAAAAGAGGAAATAAAATCTACACTAATAAGCATAAAAGAACGAGAAATAAATCTAACTACATGCAATAAAAGGAAAAAAAAAGAAAATCAAAGAATGAAAGAGCAATGAAATAAATCTAGAATAAAAGAGCAAGAAAATAAATTTACTCTACAAAGCATGAAGAAAAATTACACTACAAGCGTGAAAATAAATCTATTTCTACCAAATATAAATAAAAACAAGAAAATAAAATCCTAATTCACTTTTGCAGGAATCACAGTTGTATTCAGTAAATGTAAATTAATATAAAAACACTTTATTTGCAGATATTTTTTTCAAAATAAAAGAAACAATGAGGGTATATAAAAGTGTAATAAAACATGATAATCAAATACACTCACACCTAAACTTATACTAGTCCTCTAACAAAAAAAAACTAAAGTAAAAAAGAAGAAAAAAAAATCCTAATTCACTTTTGTAGGAATCACAGTTGTATTTAGCACATACATCAACCCTTTAAACCTTTAGGTTATCCTAGAGGACGAGTTGTAGTCTCATGAGAATTTGTAGAGAATATATCCATAAAATTCGACCAACTTGCCAAATTGAAGAAGTCAATATATCCATAAAATATGATAATTATATATTGAGTTCTTAACGATGATTGGCTGTAAACATGATTTGTCGACCCTTAACGATGGATGTAATAAAAGGAGTGTTAGGGTCTGTGGAGTCAACTTGTAAATTTGCATAAAATAATCTTACCAAATGTGGATAATATGGGAGAGGATGACTACTATCAAGCAAATTAAACAAGTGAGAAGCTTTGAAATATGTACTAAGATCAAAATGATTACAGTCCCCAAAATTTACGAATCTCCCCGGAAAAATTTCAGTTGGCATAATGAACGGTACTTCCTAAGAAGGGCGGGACTCCGCAAATACTATTCATAAAACTAAAAGTTTTCAACGGGGGGAGGAGATGGAGCTCGAGGGGCTCGAGAAGGGGGATTGAGAGCTTGTGAGGAAGAGGGTCTTCCTCTACAAGACCTTGGACATTTAAGGTTACCCCTTTGCATTATGATTTGATAAAAATAAAGAAAACGCAACCCCTAGAACTGAAACCCTAAAAATGATAGAAACCCTAATATAGAAAGCTCAAGAAATTGACAAAGGTGGAGAGAGAAGGATTATACCAACAGATGGGATCTCAGAGCTCGAAGGTCGACTGGAACTGGATGAACGACAGAAGGAAATGATGGAGAGGAAAATCACCAGTCGACTCGGTTAGGGAATGATCGGTTTTGAATTTGGGGAAGAACATATAAGGTTTAGGGTATAGGGAGTAATCGACGGCCAGGATAATCTCATAAGCAAAACGAGCGGCTAGGATTACAAGTGAAGCGGGTCGGGTATAGAACTAACAAACAAAATCCATAGAAGAAAATAAACTCAATCAGCAGATGAACTCATCGGTCGACTTGTCAGTCGACTGATATGCTTAAAATCAGTTTTTCAAATGGATTTTGATTTTTAATCTTTTAAATATATGTATATATATATAAGATTGAAACCACTCATTTAATTAATGAGTAAACGTATCTCAAACGACAAATTTCACAAAAATAAAATTTTCTTATATAAAAAAATATAATTGTATAAAAATTTTCACAAAAATCATTTTAAATGCATCCTATAAACAAAAACTCATAGAACAAAAAAAATTAAAGAAAATTAATTTTGTTTTGGCACCTAAGAAATTTTGGTGCTGAAAAGTTTTGGGACATGACTCTCATCATTTAAGTTCAAAGCCCTTGGGTTATGAACCCATTTGGACGTATTTTGTGCACCGATACGGTCAAAACAAAAATTGTACACATGACTTTTACGATTGTAATATGTGCAATGTAAAGTTTGAAATGATTTGTGTTGATCAAAATGTTGTGCACGTGACTCATTTGCAAAAATAGATTTTTCTTTAAAATTATTTTGCAAACAGGAAGTTCTTCTCAAATCGAGACAAAACTTGGTCAAATGACCAAAACGACCATAAAATTTACACTTATACACATGGGCGTGTTTATGATGATCATTGTGTGTGTGTACATATGTATGTGAAGAAGAAGTTTGATGTAGGCGTCAAAAATTGCCTATAGGTCCCCGCACACAGCTCGAGATGGAGAGGAGATGATGAACATCGCTATTCAAGTCACAAAAGCTCATTTGACGGTGACGAATGCATGAAGTGAGTTGACGGACCATGCGAAGCAACAGAATTTCAGAATAATCGAAACACAAATGAATCAGGAGTTGCACATTGCTTACGAAAGACGAAGCGCCCATCATGTCCCATTTACTCCACACATGATTCAATCATGAGATCTTGTAGATCTCCTCGTTTGCTTTCCGACACATTCTGGATCGCATGATTTCGAGTTCAGATGATGAAAATATAGCTGAAACGGACGAAGCACGCGAGACCAAGCCCTGAACCAAACCGAGACACCACATGGTGTCTCTACCAAGCCAAGACACCCATGAGTGTCTCGGCTTGGCCGAACAGTGTCTCGGCCAAGTCGAGACACCCATGAGTATCTCCACCAAGACACTCACAAGTGTCTCGCCCACGCCGAGACACCCGCGGGTGTCTGCAACTCGAAAAAGCTGTTTTTGGCTTTTTTTCGACCGTTAACCGTCTGGATTTGCTCTAACTGATAAAATATCATCCATGAACGTGGTTAAC